GCTTCTGAACAACTTGGCAGTCTGTCCCTTCAAGACTGATGGAAGTTCGACATCTTTGAAGGCGTGCGCATGCATAGAAAAGGTTTGTGAAGTGCTGACCGAGGCCTCCTGGTGGCAGCGGCATGCGCCTGCCTCAGCTGCCAAGAAGCTGCATCACAAGACACAAATGAGGCAGAGCATGTTTTGGTCCTTGTCGGTCATGCGTGTATAAGCGAATATGTTTTGGGGGCCGAAGGCGAGCATGCATGTCAAGAGCCTATATGGCAGTCAGATCTAGATTCACCAGTTGCTTGAGAGAGGAATAGAATTTACAGTCGCCGACGTGGATGAGACTTCGAAGAGAAGCCAGTTACGATTGAAGCTTGCATGCCCGCAGCCGACAGAATCAGAGCCGATATTATATGTTCACGAAGCCTAAGTCAAAGTATGTCAGCACGAAGTTGCGTGTAGAACTGTTGAAGGCTGCTTGGACAGACTGCCACCTTCGGTATCTTCAGCACCCACTGCAAGCCCAGACCTGCGCATTGTCCCTCCCATAGTATGTTTGCAGCAGCAGAGGTTTAGGGGCAGAGACTGCTCCAGGGAATGTAGTAAGCTTGTACAGCACTAGCTGATGGCCATGGTGGCGCATGAAGGCTGCAGCCTCCTTTGTCAAAGGAGGTGGGACCACTGACAATAGGACCAAACTCCACCTGCCAGCTGACAGAGTTCGATCCAAAACACATGTGCATCCATCAGCTGTGGCAGTCCGGCGTCGACATACCCCACGAAGAGTTCGGCTACTGAATCGACATGCATGGACAGCTTGGGAGTGATAATGCTGGGCATTCATGGCACAGAATCTTTTGCATGAAGGGCTTGGATCTAGTGTTTGGCCACGACTTTCCACAAAAAACACGTCACGAGTTGCTGATCAGTTCTTCCTGACATGGCAGAGTGTAAATACAACGTTAATACCGTGGCTGCAGCATTTCGGGAGCGCCTCCATTCATGTTTTAGTACAGTAGCCCGCAGTTTGGACCTTCTTTGGAAATGAGTCTGCAGGATAAGAGCCCTCTATCTCTCAGTATGTCTGCTACCTTGTCTTACAGTGACGGAACCTCGGCCCATTCAGATGTCTGTTGAGTGGTTGGGTCTTCACGGTAATTACGCTTGTCCGGATCTGGCTGGACCTGGTGTGTGGCCGTTTGCACAGCCAAGGAAATGCGTCGGGTATAGACAGGCGGCAGCCCCGAGCGCCAAGTGAGGACACAGAAGCCCACTGGCATTCTCACAGCTGAACAGGGACACTGCAGACATAACTTTGAAGATTTGACAGCTGATTGCTTAGGGCATCTGCTACTTGTAGGCCTGCAGGAGACAACGTGCTCCCCAAGATTCCCACAGCCCCTGTCCATGCCGGCAGAGTCTGACGCACGTCGCTGGCGACTGCCTCTTGGCTCTGCAACAACTGCGAACTTTCTGACAGGGCTTGGACTCTTGGCAGTGCAGGGATAGCGTCCATTGGAGTGGATTATTGGAGCATGGTAATTGTCAGACCGTGCAGGCCGAGGTATAGAAGCTACAACAGCAGTGTAACAGTTTCCTGTCTGAAGTTCTACCCTTCCAGGCCGCAAGCCCCAAAAGCGCTGCAGAGCATGGTGTCAGGCAGAGTTTCTTCGGGATGGCTTTAACATTTGCCATGGTTTCGGAGCTGTTGCCGCATCTGTAAGTCGCAGAAGATGCTCAGATGGTTCCCTGCACGCATTGAGCGAGTGCCAGATGGCCACCTTGCAACTGTACAAAGCACGGAATGTCTAGAGGCAGTGTTGGTTGTGAAGATTTCTGCCAGGCTTTAATTACTCCTGAAGGTTGCCATGCTCTGACTGCCTTAAAAGGATCTCCCGTCGCAGCCCGATCACAGAAATGTCTGCATTTCTGGCGGTTATGTTGGTTCTAGATGTGCCAGGTCTGCTGAAATGCATGGAGTGTGCTGTGCATGTGCTGCAGGCGGTGCTGCCGGCAGTTTAGCAAACCGCTGCGACGAGATTGATGCCCACTCATTAACTCCAAGCAGCGTTTCAGATGAGGAGCGCTGGCAGTTGCTGTTTAGGAGCAGTTGCCAGGGGGAGAAGGGGAGGCTGCATTTTTGTGGGGCGAGGCATGCTGTTCTCTTGGGTCAAGGCTGTCCGTGGTCCGCATGCTCGGGGTCCAAGCAGTCCTGAGCCAGTGGCACGAGGCGCCTGGCGCCTGACCGGGGTGGTGCATGCAAGTAGAGGGATTGGGAACGCATTGTGTGGATTCTGCATGCTGCGCATGATGCTGAAGATTACGCACCAGTGCCCTGCTTGTTCTGCTTGGCACGTAGGGCTGATCTCGGAACCTGCGCCAGCTGGACAGCCCCTTGACTAAGCAAAGTTACTCGCCAGAACAACTGCGCACTGTTGCTGCAATTAAGGATACCTCGTCCATCCCTTTCCCTCATTGAGTCCGATCTAGAGAAGCTTTACGCTGCTGCTCGAGCTCCCCATGCGTGGAACTACCCGAACCTTGGAATGCACGTCCTAGAGGGCTTCCAATGCTTCCAAGAATCCCGGTACAGATGCTTTATCTCGGCGCGTCGCGGTTGCGCGATCTGAGTTCAAAAAGCTGCCTGTGTTACAGTAGAAATTGTGGTATCTAAGTCATGAGGCCATCAAGTGCAGTCTGCAGCAAACATGCGCCTATTCACTGCTCATGCAGCAGCAGCGGCATAGTACTCTAGCAATTCTTGTGCACAATTTTTGGGCCAAGGACGCACGTGGCTGGGCCGAAGGGAGGGCAAGAGAGAAGTTTACGGCTAACCTGCGCCGTCCCTGCTGCAAACTCCCAAAGGGGGTGCTGATCGAGTTACTGGGAGTTGCATGTGCGAGGATGTCAGCGGACTTCCCCGTTTGTTGAGTGCTTTTTTTGGACTTCGTGCTTGTCCTTCAGACACTATGGATCTTTTGACATTGTCGGGAACATGTTGAGTTTAGGCCTAGGTGCTTTGATGCTGTTGTGCAACTCTTCGAGCTTCTTTATGTTCAGCCTGCTTTCTAGCTCTGCCCAATTGTGCTACATTTGGGACATGTTTGGGTGGGGGTGGGGGGTACTAACGGTTACTGTTGGGGAGGGATCTTTTCAATCGGCGCAATCCTTTTTTATGCTGCACACGTCTTGCAGCTCAATTAAGATGTCTGATATCTCTTGTTTCTGACGATTGTTGGTTGTTGCGCTGTGCCATTATGTGCCATCGCTTGCTACGTCTCTTCTGCCGCTTGAGTTGTCTTTCGTAGCCTTTTGAACATCTCTTGTTTTGCGCGTATAGAACCTGAGATCCAATTTGTACAAAGGACCTCCGCAGCTTAGCCAGTCACCAAGAGGACCGGGAGCCTGTTTGCGCCTCTCAGACGTGCCTCGCCCTGGATATGTCATTGATGTGAGCCATAGTCAAAACTCCTTAAAGGGGTATGTGTATGTACATATATATATATATGTCTATATAGGGATTGTGTAGGGGAGTTGTATATTAATGGGGATGCTCGGAGTTTAGACTGCAGCTCAT